CAGGTCCGTAGTATTTACTGATGATCCTCTTTGTGTAGGTTCATGTTATATCTGCTGATTCGCCGGCCTGTGGTATCTGCTGCTGACCCGCTCCAGTGACTAGTGTCGGAGAAAAAAAGGCTCACGGAAGGGAACACAATAGCTATTTTCCAACAAAGTGGTTGCGAGAGCGCGGGTGCGTGCGAGTGCGAAAATTACAACGGCCTCAAGCTTTTTATTGGAAGGACGCTGTCTGAACTTGGTCCAATGCTGACGCGCGCGGTCTGGCTTTGGTACGAGGCAGCGACGTGCTGCATATTGCGGAGGTGTTGTCTGTCCTTGATCAACGCTGACTCGTGCTGTCTGGGTTTGATGCAGGGCTGTGACGCGCTGCATATTGGAGAGGCGTTGTCTGTCTGGTCAACACCCAGCGGAGATGAGTCTCCGTAGATTCCGGGCATTCAGTGGTTGCTTTCAGGAAGCTGACCTTCCTGGTAGTTCATTAGTGTTTTAAGGGTTTTCCAGATTGTTTTATTTCCGGATGCTCATACTACGAATCCATTGTTGTTTGACATTTTGTATTTCAAACCTTCGACTTGAAAATTTCACGTGTAATATATCTTCCCGCAGCTGTTGACCCATAGACCCTACCTACTGGGCTTTGGACGCACTGGATAGTTAATGAAAACTGCTGGGCGATTATTTTACGTTTTTTGTTCGACTGACCTTTTCCAACCGGAAGATAAATTATTAATTCCATAACTCTAAGGAGTGCTGGGGAAACGTCCTACCATCCGCACACTTTCACTGCAGCGAACAGTACGAATTTACTGGAAAGGTCGACTCTAAAACGAAGCCGACGGACCTCAGCACAATATCGTTGGTAGCAGTTCACTTCGGTTCATTTCCTGGGTTTACACTGTTTGAGACTGCTACACTCGCCAAATAACGGAGAGACGGATAATGAGATAGCCGAATGGGTTGGTTTAGTGCTGGTGAGTCACACGGCCTATACTGTGACCGTAGATGGTGAAAAGAGGGCTATGTGTGAAATGGGTGGATCAAGTGATGCGACTAGCAACCACAGACCGAATATCACAAAATCTTGTGACGACCCCTCAATTGCAAATCTGGCTGCCTAAACCAAATACCAGAGCGTCGTGACTCCACTCCGGAAAGTTGCGGGTTCTAATTTCCCGGTGACTCATTTGCACTGCCAATGTTTTTCAATAGTAAAGTGCTTTCCGACGTTTCAGAATGAGTTTCCTTTACATGTAGGATAAAATACACACTTTGAGCTCTTCCCACTACCTATAAAAGTGACTCTTCTGCTGCGCGTACAAACAGGTGCCACCAACTTCGTCTGACTACACATAGGCCATTTTTCAGTTGCTCTGTTGAAATGCACGTTGGGTGAAAATTCCCGCATTTACTGACCTGACTTAATCGGGATTTCTTGTTACTTTTGTCGATTGTTGACGTCGATGGTGTTACTGATGGTGTGGTGTTAGCAAAACCTGGGCAGACGTCATGTGATGTCAGTTACGCGTACTTTTCACTCCACAAAGCAAATTGTTTCGATAGAGCAGCGGTTTTTTTCTCATGAGAAGGGACTGATGTACTGAAAAATCTAACAGTTGGTAGTAGGCGGATGGATCCAACATAATTGTCGCATTTTTTGTATGTCAATCCCACCAGGGGCGACGTGACTTATTGATCGGAGTGCGGATTTACTGATGGGAAGCTCCGTGGATGGAACCCGATTCTGCATCTCGACTTCCCCTGTCTAGACTTGGGCAACCTGACAGTATCCCAGCCCTCATGCTTCCTTCGTGTGGCATGACATCTAGATACCGAAAGGGTGTTACAGCCGAACGATTTATTTTTTTATTTACAATCCCACCAGCTTACCACGGCAAAGCATCGGTGTTGAACGCTGATGTTATGCTGCCGATGATGATGATGAATCCCACCAGTTATTAGAAACCGAATATCTGGGCGATATCAATTTACCCGCCATTGTTAACGCATTGTTTTCAGCTGTTGTGAAGATATTAAGGGTTGACATTCCAAAGGGATGGTTTACTTTTCAGTTTTACCCCTTCCATCTGTTTCCGTTGCCTCCCGAGCAGTTAGATGCCACAATTATTTCCATCAGAAGATGCTAATTCTGATGGATGCATTTCAGTGGTTATCTCTCTTACAAGATACCGGTATTCTTCCCCTTCAGATGCGTTCTCCAGACTGAGACAATCGTACAGGATTCCGTTGAAAAAAATAGTTGTTGTCCAGCTGCTACATTCTTTTGGTGTCCAGCTGTCATGTTCGATGGAAGCACGAGAGCTGAGATTCTGCCAGATTGCCCAAGCCTATGCACCAACAGTCGGAATGTCGAGGTTGGGTCAGAACCATGGATCTTCTTGTTAGTAAATTCGCGCTTTAGCCATTGGGCTACCTCCACGGTCCCGGTATCTTAAGCAGACAAACTAGGTACTAATAAGGAAATAAATCGTTCAGCTGTAGCACGCTTTCGGTGCCTAACTGCCACGCCACCCGAAGGTTGCACAAAGGCTGGGATGCTGCCAGGTTGCCCAAGCCTAGACAGGGGAGTCGAGAGGCAGAGGTCGGGTTCGAACCACGGACCTTCCGGTCAGTAAATGCGCGCTCTAACCACTTGGGCCATCTCGCCCTCATTGTAACCGAGAAGTCTTTGGTGCTTCGACTGAGCTATTTCTTGATTTTTGGTTGTGTGCCATAGCCTCTCAACCGGCGTGAATGCTTCTCCTTGGTGGGCTGTGAAGTGACTCCTGAGTCATTAGCAGCGTCACATTGTTCGGTTATTCCGTACACTGTTTTCGCATTTTTTGTTACGTTACATCCAGTCATTTGATACCGATAATCGACGAAGCTTCACGTGACTTCGGATCAACGAATATTGTATGAGGTTTGTCGCCAAATTCCTCGAGTGATTTTCTCTCACCTCTTCGTTCCCCATCTTCACAGGAAGTTGCACTGTCAAATGGGAGAACAAGTCCATGTACTTCATTGTGACGGTATTCGGCCTGGCAATATGAGATCGGTACACTGATGCGCGTACGAGTTCCCAATCAGACTCAGCGACACCCTCGCACGAATGTCGATTTCCTTCAACTACAAAAGTGGACTTCCTAATTTTCTATCAAAACCCCACCTATGTTGTTCGCGGTTGCTGACCTGTTGCTGGACCTGTATTGGTGTTCAGCTGCTCTCATTCTTGACCATTTTATGAAATCCAGTTAACACGGCGGTGCGGTGGTCAATTGTATCTTTTCTGTGGGGACTTACTTGTGGTAACCCGAATTCCTGTTGCTCTGGTCTTCTTTCAGTTTTACAGCTGCAAAAGATTGTGATGTGAAGCAGAGTTCTGTTTCGGGCCGCTTATCAACAACTCGTTTTCGTTGAATTCCTGATGGAGTTCCTAGTCCTGTTCTAAGACGGATAAGATACCCTGTTGACATATCTGGTCCATTCATGTGATCAAAAGCTGCCACCTTGACGTGTTGGTCGGGCTTGAGTGCTGCAATCAACTCGCGGGCTACACTGACTTGGAGTTCGTTCCACAAGATGCAACCATGCTAGCAAGGCCAAAAGGGTGCAGTCAGACCAAGAGCAGCGGTATCACATACTACGGGTAATCGTATTACGAAGCGGTCTGGAGGTAAGGTCATACTGTCCTCTGCAATAGCAGTGTCAAGGCAGCTAGATGTATCCTCCAGGCGGCCAACGTGTCCACTTTTATGGAAGCAGCGATGCTGCCTTCTCCTGAGAAAGGACGGGTTAGAAAAGGTTGGCCCTGAAACCCGCACACATTGATCGCCCAACGGTTGACCGTGACAGCCGGCGCATTATTGTGCGTTCAAAATATTTTTAAAACCGAAGAGTCCTGTGCTACTCAAAAGGCACTTGCTGTGCCTAGCCGCATCAGGAGCGGCACAGCAATGCCTCGGGTCAGGCCAACCCCTTGCACGGTAAACTATTGAGTCGTCGGCTCCCGGAAGGGTCCCCAAAGAAAGCCCTTCTTTCCTCTGTCAAACTTTTGAGTCAGAGACTAAGGGTAGCGTCCCCGAACAAAACCTTATATCCTCCCACTGCATTGTGCGTCAGAAACTTAAGATGGGGTAACTTAACCAAAACCCCTTTTTCGGCCTCCACCCACACCCATCGAATGATGCAGTGCGGTCAAGCCATCCGCCAGCTTCCTAGCCATTGTTATGTGCAGGCCATCGCCTAGAAGAACAAACCAAAAGAATCACTTGCTAACCTCCAGGGAGCTGACCCACGTTGTAGCCTTTACTATCTTACTGTAGGTCAAATTGGACAATAGGCATCCCTTGTTGAAAATTTGCTTTCCTTCTCCGTCGATGTATGTTATGTCTCCGCTTAGGATGAGCTCAAATGTTACACATTTCACTCCCTGGGAATCTTGAGGCAATGGCTCATGGTATTTAAGATGTGGGAGTTGCATTCAGTCCCTGGGCTGAAAGCGCGTTACTGGACTGGATCCCAGGAAATAGTCGCCTTTGAGCTGTGCTCAATTAAAATTAACGCAGCTCGATACGGTAAACGGTGTTTACTTGTATCAGCATAGGCCCCAATGTATAACAGTTCTGAGACAGAACGGGTTTTATCAAGATCTTTTACGGCCGCTTCTTTCGGCAAGACGGACGGATATAGTAATCCCAGCGGGTGATATGAATGCCCAGGTTGGACAGCTTTAAATATAATTGGACGAACCTTATGGTTGTACGGCAGTGGAGCATCAGTGTCAACACTGATGTTGCTGTCTTTGATGATGTTTTGGTGGTAGATTAGCAGTCGACACTCACTCTATGGATAATGGGGAGCGACTTTTTCAGTCATGTGCTGATCATCGTCCATTTCTGGCCAACACAAACACCCACGGCCGAGTTACTTGGCGGCCACCAACCACAAGACAGTCATAGACTTATGTAGGACCATGTGGCTATCAGTTAACGATGGAGAGCCTCAATTAAGGACTGTCATTCCTTCGACTTGATTCTGATCATGGTATCGTCCAAACAAGGTTAACACTTCGATTTCCCTCAGCATTACGCCTGCCAAAACGGTGCAATTTCGTTAATCAACTTCGACAAATTTCAGTACATCATGACTGTCCCGCTGACCTAGCTAGGAAGCCAGTAGGAAGGCAGTCATGTGGATGGCGAACATTACTGGAGGTTGCTTGAAACTGAGTTGAAGAAGCTAGGCCATCAGCTTTCAGAACTGTTTGTCCAAGCCAACTGACCCGACCAGATGAATCCTGGGTGTCGTCTAGATTTACCAAAATAATTGCACCAGGGAAAAGCGAACATTTGGCATGGTTTTGTATGTCACAGGAATTTCAAGATCGAACCGACAAACCGATTATGCCCCCCCCCAATCCAGGGATGTGTGCCCTGAAACCTAAATATCTCGGGAATGGTCAGGTCTATTTACTATTCCATACTGCCTGTCCTACAAAAAGCGAGCAGATGCCGTTCACCAGGTGATGTGGTGTAGAAACCCAACTGTTCTGCCGTTCGCTTGGTTTGCTCACAATCAATTCTTCTGGTGTTATGACTTGAGGAACGTAAACTGCATTACTCTTTCTACGTAGAATTTATCTATATGGGCCTGGGTAATCCGCTACTCTGCTGTATCATATCACAACATCAGTGTCGAACACTGATGCTTCGCTGTCGTCAGTACCGAAGCGAATATCGCTGCGCGGCATTTGCAACGTCCTGGGAATTCACAGTCAAAAGCAGGCTTCTGTCCCATTGGAACTTCACTCAGATGGCGGGGCGAGGTGGCCCAAGTGGTTACAGCGTGGAATTACTCACCGGATGGTCCGTGGTTTAAACCCGACCTCTGCATTTCGACTTCACCTGTCCATGCTTGGGCAACCTGGCAGTATCCCAGTCCTCGTATTTCCTGGTGGCATGGCAGTTAGGCACCGAAAGGATGCTACGTCTGAACGATTTTCAATCAGATGGGGAAGATATCAGACACTCGTGGGAACACAAGGTGGGGTTCTTGAGTCTCATCAGGAGCTAAAGTAGCGACGGTTCAAGCTGGGGAAAAGCTCTGGGATATTCCTTGGTTTCCGACTTTCCAGTTTTAGGTGAACTAGTTAAAACGTTTGGTCTTACACCCTTCCTCTCATCGGCACCGCTCACAGCTGATTTAATCGGGAATTTATTAACAAACAGTTGTTTTGGGGAATAGTGATCTCGGTAAGGAGGTTACATTCATTCTTGTGCTGGCTTCAGGTAACAATATGTCACATGACAATCTACGGAAGCAAGACACTAGTCACAAGTTTGCTGAAAATTCGACAGTCCACGACCGGTTTCGCCCTTCTTGGGCTCATCAGTCCCCGAGTTTAAGTCAACCATAGGTTCTACTTGAACCCAGGTTGGATAGATGTCGACAAATGCACTCATTTGCATATCAGTTTTCATAGGAGAATCGACTGAATCCCTCGTTTATGATATTTAGTTGAGTCTCTCATGAAAACGAAATTGATGTGCAAATAAGTGTATTTGTAGGACTCAGTCCAATTTGGGTTCACGTAGGACATCAGGATGATGCAAACTCGAAAGACTGCGCCCACCTGATGAGCCCCAAGAAAGGCGAAGCCGGTTGTCGGCCGTCGAAGAGTTTTCAGCAACCTTGTGAATAGCTTCGTTTATGAAAAAAAACACCTTATTTGTGAGCCTTAGATGTTCTAACTTTACCCATTAATAGGCGACCAGCGGACATAATGAGCGCGTGAAATGTCAAAAAACACGAGCGACGAAAATGATGTAGCTGTTCACTATTTCCTAAGGGCTCTGTTAGCTTCGTATAAAGATCGTCTTCCAAGAAACGACGTCCCCCAAGGTATAACCGCGTTTTCTTGTTTTCATTTACCAGCATGGAGAGAGCTGTCGTTTCCACACGCACTGACTGCACCTAGTTTCCATTTTGAGTTAGCAAGACAGCTCTATGATGTACCTGTACCCAACTTTGCACAAGAACCAACGAGTTCGTTAGTTTTTGTCGAAAGCGTCTTTCAATTTAATGTCTATTCAAACTTACACACGTAGGTACAAGGCAATCTATTATTTTCCACGTTTATCCTGATGTTACTTACAGAACCGTTTATGTATAAACAAGAGACTTAAGATATTACATTGGCTCGCGGAGAATTCTTAACACTACAATCAATTCTGGGAAGATTTGAACGCCATCTGAATCGAATGGCCAGGCCAGTGGCGGTCACGCACTCAAGATGGGGCGAATCGTCCCTGGTTCCACCGTCTTTGTTGGGCCGATGTGCAAGCGATCAGAAAGAATTTAGATAACAACAGTTACTGAAACAGCCCCTCCAAATAGAATTTTTGGGACCAACTTTCGATCACAGCAGAAAATCATCCGTCGGTACACACAATAATGTGCGGTTTGAAATCTTTTGAGGTTTTCCCTGGACTATAAAGAACATGTGGTGGAATTGTTCAAACAAAAAAGACGACGCCCCACTACACATCATAGCACTCTTTACGCGCTCATATCAAGCCTGTGAGCATACTTGTTTCCATTTGTCATAGTTGAAGGATAGATCCAGTTTGCCCATTGGAAATAAGAACCGTGTACGGGCATCAGCAATTTCCTCATGGGGCATCTTGCGAAGGCTAATACTAGTGCAACACTTAACGATGAACAAGAAAGTAAGATTTTTCCCTTGCTCTTTTTTGTCACAAACTGCCTGTTTCTCACTCCTGCCGTTGGCTGATGACATTCAGCTGCAGTCCGTTTAGACGAACTCCTCGAGCTGGTGTCAGGGGACAACGCTACATTTTAACGTGGTTTCAAGGCCTTTGTTGGTAGCTCGTCACCTAACATAGTATCCTTCATGAAATACCTCCGTGCCATCCTGTTCGATTAGCTGGTACGCACCTCACACTAACGGTTTCTCCAGTCATGAATTTGTTCTGCGCTCTCAGGTTGAAGGCGTTATGGGTCACTTAAATCTTGCTCGTTATTTCGTTAGAGCTTGGTCACGCCAATGAGTGCGATGAAATCTCCAGAAAGTATTTTGGCATAATGAGTTTGATCATTGGGTGTTCAATGTATTTCCACCGTTTTGCTTCACATCAGTTCCACTTTCTATACATAGTCAAGTCACAAACTTTTACTCGCGCAATCGGAATTTCGTCACTCTGTGGAAGCGGGATTTTTAGCTAACTTGGCGTTTCGGGTTTTAGATGGCTGAGGCGAGCTGTTTTCTTTACTTCCTAGGGTGCGGTCTACTAAATAGCGACAATTAAATGGTAGTCGAAGGGGACTAAGAGCGAATATTGAAGAAAGATGTGATTGGGTGTCAGTCGTGGCCTGTATTCGCTGACCAGACCACTCCAGACAGGC